TTTGCTCCAATAATAACATAAAGTACTATAAATAAATTTTTGGGAGTTAGAGATAGAGATGCTATATTTTCCTTTATGAATATAAATGAATCTCTAAAGTCAACTATTTTTTCAATTATATTGAAGTTAAATTTTAATTACTTAATTATATTGTTATAAACTTCCAAAGTTAAATTAATTAAAAAATTAAAAATTAATTGAAAAAAAATAATCTTCATAAAAAATTTTTGATTATAGTTGGTAATGATGATGAAGTCTTTCGGACAATTCAAACCCACAATTAGTTTTCAACTCAATAAAAAGCAACTTTTACTACTAAAAGTCTTTCATTGACTTATTGAGATGTTAATTAACTAAACACACGAGCACTTCGACTTTGATAAAATTCACTTAATTATTAAATTTTCATATTTTATGATGAAGTCAGTAACAATCACCACAAAACGGATCGATTTTTCGAATGCTATATGTTTTTATTTCAAATCGAATGTCATTGAACCCTTGGTAAAAATTTTGGAAAATAAATTAATTTATAGTATTTATTTTGAATTTTTGATTGTAAGTCGATAAACAAACAGAACGTACGATATGCGAATATACACCTACAGATGCTTCATCCAATCATAAAGAATAATTTCTTAATGCAAGTTAATACTATAATATTCTTAGCGCTAATTTTAGCTTGCACAATGCCCCATACCAAGAAGATGTGAGAGCAGGCTTGCATCTAGTGATCGTGGAGGCTATTTTATGATCTAAACAAATCGTCTTATCTCAATTACTCTCGTCTTATTTCAATTACTGTTCTCTTTCTCAATTATTGGTTTGCGTTCTAAAACTATTATGAATTGTATATCGCGTATTTTGTAAAACGGCACACTCTGTCTGTCTCCGAAATCTTTTATTGGCATGGTTTCAGAATACTTTCAAATCTTTTTGCATCAACCTTGGTGCAGAAACTACTACAGAAAGAACCAATAAACCTTTAATGCCGTACATAGGTTAGGTTAGGTTATACCGATGATTCCCAGTAGATCCACTTAGGCCTATTGGCCCATTGTGATGCCGTATATAAATAATAAAAACCTCAGGGTTTAAAACCACCTAGAACCTTTTGCGATGCATAAAATGCTATTTATAGTCATATCCTGTAACTGGTACAGGTCTTCAAGGAAGGGGGCTCCTAAAGTACTAAGTCGCCGACGTGCATGAGCTGGGCAAAAACACAAAAGAGGAGATGCGCTCTCATCGTCCTCCCTACAGCTAATGCCGTACATGCTACCATAAAATATAGGTCATGATATCTTGTAATCACTCTTTCTCTCTCGCTTTTTCCCTCTCTCTCTCCTGCTTTATCCACCTCCCTCTCTTTCTCCTTCTACCACCAGATCTCTCTTATAGCACTTTAAAACTGGCTGAAGTTTAATTATGCCAACCTGGTCAATTAAAGTTCAATAATTTTAAATGCAACAATATTTTAAATTTCTAAAATTAATGGTGCAAAAAATATTGATTACACAAATACTAATTATACTTTTAACTTAAAATACTGAAATGCAGAAACTACCTCAATTATATACACTTTTAGGAATAACTTTTTACAATGGCGAGGTTCATTGCCCTATTGCTATACTCATTCTGTGAATTCTAATTAAAGTTTTTTTTTGCTATATATAATGACTTTGCTATTTTATGTTTACTTTTTAACTTAAAATTATTATAAAAATACACATTTTACCTATGAGCCTATCAGTTCTCACATATGAACTGATGCAGTCATTGGCTTCGAATGCATTGCGAATATTTTTCATTAGCTCCACACGAGCAGAACCGTTTCCACGTTCGCTTGGAACTGTAAACAAGATATAAACAAAACAAGTGGCAAAAGTATGCTGACTGCAATTCCGTATCAATTCCCAATCAGAGTTAATAATGCCAACAATGACTTAAGCAATGCACTAAATGTATAGGAATGAAGCCAATATTGTATTGTCATAAAGCTTTGTAAGGCTTCACTAACCTCAAATTGATATCAGTTGCCATATTATCCTTAAAAGCTGCCTACTAACTCACAGACAGTTTGTCACTGTATCGTAGAGACTTCTCCGCATAACAAGGCATGCTTAAAAGTACTTCACCACATGCAAATCACATCTAAACGAGATGCCACATATTTAGACAAACCTTTTCCAATGTCTAGTTTTCAGTATGTATATTTTTTTCAATTTTTGTTTGTTGTTGTTTTTAATTTTTATCTACAAAATGCAGCAGACAAAGTGTCTCGTAGTTATTAGTCTCGTCAGCAACCTTGGCCGTGAGTTTCAAACGTACACTGCACTCTAGTATGCCACATATCACATTACTTAGTGTGGATTGCATTCAAATTGCATATTGCATCAGGCAACGGCTTATGCGTGCCGTCGGCAAACGTTATAAGCTACAACATTTGTTGTGCTTTGCGATATGCAATTTTATTTTCATTTTCTTAAAGCCCTTAGAAGTGTAAGTTGCACTTACGCATACTGCTTATGTGCATCCTTAAACTTAAGGTTGCATACATTTGTTCCCCTCTGTTGCCTTGCAATATTTTCTGTTATACTCGTATTTGCATGTTCTGAAAGCAAAAATTTTGAGCGTACGTCATGCGATGTGGTGTAGGCTGCATTTTATTCATGCAACTGCATATTCAGCGGTAATCCTGCAATATGCAAGTGTTTCCTTTTTTCATTTATTTTTGTCATTTTTTTCCAGTAAGCCCCCCGCTGCAATATAAACAACCGCTTCATTGTTTTGTTTTAGATGCGGCACACATTACACCCAACAAGAACAGAAAAGAGTTAATTGAAAATACTAAATTTTCCATGTCTAGACAGAAAATTATGTGACAATTGTTTATATACGTATTTGTCTCATATTAAAATTAATTACTTAAGCTCGGGAAAAATGATTTTATGTGGGATATAGGAAACTTATTTTGCAATCGTTAATGGCTTACAGCAACTATCGCCGTAGAGGGATTATATAGTGTCATTGTTGATTTTAATTTGAAGAAAAATATAAATACATATAGGGTGAATATTAAAATTATGAAGAAAGGAATACAGGACAAGAAATTTTCTAGAAAAATTATGAATACGGACTATAGAGATCAGCAACCTACATATGGAGTAATGACAGTATTTCCTTATAATTTTTTGTCGCTATTTTTATAAAAAGAACAGGAAGCCTATTTTTAAAACAATATGTAAAAGCTAAACATATTCCATGAAATACATAACCATTATAACAACAATCCCAAGAATTTATTTAGACCTAATGGGCCATTAAGTTTAGCACTCACATTAGTCTATAAAAAAATATCTGTCATACTTTTCTTCTAAATATTGCTTTAAAAGAAAATATATCTTTTTTAAAATAGTTTATAAAATTAAAACAAATCTCGTCCTATATATAACAATTATAACGACGATTCCGAGAATCTACTTAGTCCTCACATAAGTACAAAAAAAGTGTCTATTGATCATGAAGGCATATGTCAAATAAAATAACCAACTACATTTTTTCAAAATAAGGGAATAAGTCTTTCTGTTAAACTTCTTGCGTCACATCTAACATGCCGGTAAAGTCAATATATCGCATGCCATCTAAGAAGACATAAAGATATCATACATATTCTACCCAGATACGCGAATTTAATAGAACGTGTTTTTAAAAGAAATAACTTTATTATTTCTAACAAGCTTAACATGCTTACAAGAATATTTTGTAAGATGTACTGTTCCTAGTTGATAGGAACATAGTACATAGTTTATTTTCTATATAATTTATTTAACTTGTAACATTCCAATATGGAACACTGCACGATTATCGAAAAAATCGTTATCCTATAACATCAAGAGAATATTATTTAATATGTCAAGATTGCGGGATTTAAAACAAAACATCTAGTTTTTACCTCTACAAAAGTCAGTTTATAACCAACAATTCCATCCTGGTAACTTAATAATACTTACAGAATATGCTCTGCAATATCGCATATATAAACAAACAGAACTATCGATTTACCTATGTGCACTTATAAACCTAAAAACCTTCGTGAACATCCTTTATACCCACTTTGTGTTACTCTTTGATAATATAACTTATACAGTATACCTATTTTTTCGAATATGTTGTCGTCAGATTTAATGGGATCGCAAGAGAATAATAATTGATAATTTCTTAGACCACGTACTCTTACTATTGATAATCCAATTCTTATTCATTGTCGTCTTTTGCAAATAACAATTGCAGTTTAATATTTGTAGTGATCATGTTCAATATGAAAAATTTAAATATTATATACACACCAAAAATAATTCTTATAATCTATCTAGTATAATCTATTTCCATTAGAAATGTTAAACATTATTTTATTCTTAAATATTAAATAACATTTCTCTTCAACAATATTCAGTAACATTAATGCAAAAATCTACCAAAACGAATACTCAAGCTCCCAAAAATACCTTAGGACTGTCTACAATTAAACTACTGTGATTGTATCAATAATCTGTTCTATTACACCATAAAATTTTAAATATATGATTCTCAATTCCTTCTTTATTGTATCAATAATCTCTTCTATTACACCATAAAATTTTAAATATATGATTCCTGATGATCCTTCTTTATAAACAAATATTGGAAACTAAATAATATCCAATATCCTTTAGGATATATTAATATATAGGATAAATATATTAATATTAAATTTAGTATTCTAAAGGATACTAAAGGATTAAGTTTTGTTCGTTTTTATAGTTTTTTTCGTCATATGTTAAGTAAGCTCATGTGAACACTGAATGCTTGCATAACCGGAGGGAAGGTGTTTACATACTAAAGGACATAAATAGATAAATATATATAAATAGATATAAATTAAGTACATACTGTTTATAAATTTTGAGAGTAATGCTTGCTCATTTAATCGATATAAAATAATGATAAATCACACTTACCGCTTTGTTCACTTAATGTAAAATCCTTTTAAATTAAATCTATTCTAAATTCCAAGCTTAGCCCTAAGACTATCAGATAATAGAAGTATTGTTGAATTAAGGTAATTATTTTTGCCCTTAGATTAAATTGGCAAAACTCATTGACACATAAAAACACAATCAAATTGCTTTACACACAATTTGAAGTCAGGAGGACACAAATTCATATATCACTTTTTCTTCTGATGGTGCTATTTGTACCGGAAAAAAAAAATAAAAATTTACGCGCCAAAAGTATTGCAGAAATGAATATGAAGTAACACCAAAAATTCACACTCAAGCACACACTATTAATATCGTTGAACTCTGTGAGAAACCACAAATTTTTTTGGCGCTAAAGGTACTTCAAATATGATCCACGTATCGCAATATGAAACAGGAAATGGACAACGAATCCTGTGAATCTTTAATTTTCTTTTTATTTGTTTATTTGTTTTATTTCACAAAGCGGCATAAAGTGATCAGCAGTAAACAGTAACCGGCGCAAATTGTCGAAGCGTAAAATTACAATTTAAGGCCACAACACCGCACTGAACACACCGTAACAAAAAAATGAACAGAAAATCTTTTGGCCGCAGGACCAACAAACGAAAACGTTTGCCCAGCAATCACACGACAACTGACATATAAATCAAAACTTGAAGACAACTTGATTGCAGGTTGATGCATCTGGCATGTGGCAGTAACAATGTAAGCACTAATATGTGAATACAAAAATGAAAAGATTTATAAAAAATAATAACAACTTTTTCCATATGCAACCAAACTTAAACGAAGCAAAGCAATGCGAAACGTAACGTTACAATACTTGCCGCACTTGCACGGAAAAAACGCAACCAAAGTATGCAGTGCACGCCAACAAACTGTGTGGAAGCCTGACAACGCTGTTACCAACAACTCCTCGAGGAAGGCGCAATATGAGAGAGCACATATACTCCACTATATATACATATAGAAATATAATTTTTTTTCTTCTTATCCAGTATTGTGGATGAGGAGATATGAGGGTATATGTAAACGCGTTGCAATGTAAGCGATACCAACGACACCAATTCATGTTAAACACACACCATTGCAACAACAAAAGCTGCAACGGCTGCGGTTGCCACTGCTGCCTACCAACACTAAGCCTACGAGTTTGTTAATAAGACAGGGACGTTAGTAGGCAAATGAATGAGTTAAAAAACGAATATGAATGAATTTCTGCAGCCGAGTAAATTTATGTGTGCTTAATTGCTGAGACCAAAGGAAGGATGGTGTGTATGTGTAAGTGTGTAGGTGTAGGTGGTAGTAGGCATAAAGATGAAACATACACAAATCATGATGCAAATGGAGTAATATTTCTGTCTCTGCCTCCGTCCTTTCCGTTCTTGCCACTGTTCTTGCCATAACTCAACTGTTTTGCTGTTTTAGTTAATATTGCTGCGAAAGCTCTTTTGCTGATGAATAAAAATCTCAAAAATAAAATAAGTTAAAGCAGAAATAGAAGCGAACAGAAAAATATAACAAAACAAAACAAAAAAAAAACTTCATATGAACAACAACAATTAGCAACAACAACAACAGCGCTATGACTACAACAATCAGCAAACACATATGCAACACTAATTTCATATCAGTGGCAGCAGCAGCAGCAGCATCGCTTCGATGTTGTTGTCCTCATTTGGTACGTAATTCATAAACGGCAGCATTACTGCTTGACTTTTGCGGTGGTCGGAAAGCGAAAATTGTTGTCGACGATAACAGTTATGTTGACGTTGATGATGACACATGCACCGCAAATAAACGTCATCAACAACACAACACAACGCAGCAACAACAACAACAGGCCACACTTTTAGGCTGATACTTAAAAGATTGTGCGAGCAACATTTTACCGAGGACTTTGGGCCAAATTATTTGATTCTCTTTTGTTTTGAGTCATTTTTTAATTTTTTTTTTTTTAACAATGTCTGCATGAAATTAAATAAGGATTTTTGTTACATTTCAAGTGCTTCATTTTATATACAGCGTGTTCCACAATCTCCATTGCACCCTAAATATACATATATGCTGATCAAAACAAGCGATTAATCCCATAAATTTTTATAAACAGGCTTATATAGTCGTAACATCTATCATTTCTAATAATATATTTAATTAGCAAATATCTGAATATTAGTCACGTTTTCCGTACAAAAATATTATATGTAATTGAGTCAAAACAATGCAATTATCTAGTAATTGAATTTAATTAGAAGAATGCATTCTAAAATTTTTCAGTGTGGGAATCGTGTGCACGCCTTGGTAAAAGTTGGCTTAGAAGTAGTTGTTGTCTAAATACTAAGTCCTTTGTATTCTAATATATGTTTTTCCATTGATAAGTATAGCATAGTTATAGAGCTATTAATCTTTACGCTCCAATAGATCAAATTTATCCATTTTGATTTTCTAGGATACAGTCATCAATATATAAAATTAGTCCATTTTGATTTCCTAGGACATAGTTTTAGTGGGTTCAAATATTTCACTGTGACAGTCGATGCTCAACACTTACCGAAAAAAAATATTTATAAAAAGAAAGCGAAAAATAAGATGACAAAAACAAAACAAACAACAAATTTTTAGAAATGCAAATGGATAAAAATTATTCTATTTCTTCATTACTTCATAAAACACGAATTGGTATCTAAAGCACTTTTACTCAAGTTATAGAGGATTTACAAATCCTCTAACTCTAACTCTAATTAATCTCTATAACATGATTAATTCCATTTGTTATTTCTAGTCTTCGAATAAATTAATATTATGTTACAATGTCCTTGCTAGACGACGACCAATTTTCAATCAAAATTTCTTTCTATTTTCAAACTTTTAACTTGTAATGAAAAAAACTACAATTTTGTATTTAACGTGAACATGACTAACTGTATAACATAGCATAACATTGCCCTAACATAGCCCTAACATAGCCCTAACATTGCCCTTACATGACCCTAACATTCATATTTGAGTGGCGTTAATCACTTATTATACGCGTAATAATGTGAATGTGTTTTTTTGTACTTTTAATTGTTATAATTCATGCAATATCATATTTTCATCATTGACTTATGTTAATTACTTTAGCAAATGATTTAGAAGATATTCAAATGCGTTTCTTAAAACACCCTGTATTTATTTACTTAAACAAGTGTTGTGTTTTTGATGTGTGACCAAATATAAAAAACCAAAAATTAATAAAAAGAATTCCAAAAAAAAAAAAATAAATATAAACAAAGCACAAAAAGAATTGAAAACAAAATAAAATCATAAATAAAAGGCTTCCGTTCAAGCACAGTACTTCACACAACCACATATACAGACAAACATGAACATGTACACACACACCTACAAAAAGTAACAAGGCATACGTATCAGGTTATTCATATGCAAACGTGTCATAAAGCATAAAACCAAACGCCGAAATGTCCTCTCCAACTGCACGTCATATCAAAACACAAAAACAAAAAAAATGCAGCTGCATATCCTTAGAAATATTTAAAAGACAGATAGCGAAGGAACAGCCTGACAGACAAGCAGACAGACACACACACACAATCAACGTGGGAAGCTGTGTTAAGCGTAAACTTCTTGTGTTAGATTTCTGATACGCTATGTGCCGTTAAGCCCAAATGCCACATGTATACGCATACGAGTAACGAAGCCACATGTTTTCTTGCCAATGTGTGTAATTTTTTTCCCCTACTTTTTTGTTGTTGTTTATATTTTGTTTGCTTCTTTTTTTAGGTATATATGAGTCCACATATTAATGACAATCTAAGCTTAAACTTAAAGCATTGCAGAGTATCTTTTATTTATTGTTTTTGGACATTTTTTTGAAGAATTTTTGTTGGAATTTTTTTTTTATTTTTCGCACTTTTATTTATTTACTTAATTGTTGTCTTTATTGTTTTAATTTTATGGGTTGTCTTTTTATGCATATTCATCATGCCTTTAAGTGCACTTCTGTCTTTCATAATGTAGCTACGGTGTGTTTTATCGTTATTTCTACCGCCTTCCCCACAACGCGACACAAATCTTTCAAAAGGCTTAAAATATTGAAGAAAATTTTTGAGAATATGTAATAGATAGCATTCGAATTTGGTTTTAATTGTGGTATATAAATACATATACTCGTATATATGTACACTGTATAAATTTAAATATGAGTGCATTGAAATGAATACATATTTAAGTATCTTAAAATTGGAACACGTGATATTGCGATTGAATCCAAATGTCGCCGATTTGTAAAGATTTCAAGTGCACTCCATAAAGCCAACAGCTATGAATTTTTGTATTTTGTGAAGAACTCACAGTTGAAAGAACTAAAGAGTTTGCCATCCCGAATCATCGATGACGCTTGAGTCTGTCTGGTAACAGTCTAAAACCAGAAAGTTCAATAATTTTTCTTAAATTGAATTTGATATAATGTGGAAAAAGGATGCATATATTTGAGACTTTAATATGTAGTCATCTGTCACATTAGATTAAATTTGTTAGTTTAATTTAATAATTAATTAATGTATCTAATTGTAGAGCACTAAAAAATTGATTTAATTTTATTTAGGTACTTGCTTAATTATTGCAATATATTTCAATTAAGTGAAATAAGATCTTATGGTTGGGTTATTTTATATTTGTTTTATTACATATATACTTAGTTGGCCAATACATACGTAAGTCATCCTTGATCACGTCTATTAGTCTCTATCAACCAGCCCGATCAGTAGTTTGCTGTCGCTAGTAATAAAACTAACACATTGTTGATGACATGGTATTTTCACCGAAATTGCGAACGCTCTTCTACCGCGTTTTCCACCAACGGCTACGAAATCAAACACCTTTCTAGTCGGAGCATTTTCTTCCATTCCGAGCTAACGAAGCCTCTGAATTTATATACGCTGAACTACGTTAATATCGAGGTATGACTCATACGAGATCAAAATTATGTTTAAGAATATTACTACGTTTTAGTGACTTTAATGTATATTTGTTGGCAAGGACTTATATGAAGAAGACTTCCACAACCATGTTATTATATTCAAACAGATGTGATATATAAACTTTTGTTTATAACTTTTCTTTGCTTTCATGCATGTAGAATAGTTGTAAGGTAGTGATTTATTTTGTTAATTCCTTTTATTTATATTGCAGCGTGTGTGCCTAAATAAATACTAATGTGTAATGAGATAATAACCATAACGAAACATATGTTGCGCAGTATATGCCTAAATAAACACTAATTTACAATAAGATGATAACTATAATGAAACAATTATTGCGGCTTATGCACCTAAATAAATAGCATAGAATAATTAATTATGTTCCTGATTGAACATTTTAATTACTCTAAGATATGTAGGTACGTACATGTTTATACTTGAAAAACTTAACTAATTCATTGAACTTACTTGTGCAATTATCAATACTGCAGCTCTATCGTCGTTATATAAACCATGTAAAGCCGACCACGTTCCATATATCTCTTCTGTAATAAAAGAAGCCATATGCAGAAGGAGTTTTCAGTTAGTCAAATATTAAATCTTAAAAAAAAGTGTCATCAAAAATAAGTAGTCTTTGGAATGGTTTAATTTATAAATATCGTTCTATTCTTATCAAATCTATCAAACCTATCAAACTCTATCAAAAATATTGCTATTCAAAGATATAGCAGAATTTTGTAATAATCAGGCATGATTTTCGATATAATCACAGCATTAAATAAACTGATTAAATTTTGTTATAAATCATTAATTCGTTTTAGTATAAAGGATATTAAATGATATGATATTTAAGACAATTTTCATAATTTTATATCTTGGTTATAATATTTACCACTTGGAATTATAATTCATAAATACTAATTTTCTCCGTATTTGGTTTTAAATCTGTAATAATACACGTTTTCTAACAATAATAATTTGCAGAGATAAAAGCGTACCAAATAAGCTTTAATGTGCTGCTATTAAACACTTTCTTAATTTGATACTACATAAAGACTGCATATTATCTTTTTAGAATGTATATATTTAATATAAATTATTTACAAGAAGTGGTATTAAATGTCCCATATGGTAATGATGACTTTAAATCATTTTTAACCATTGCCGTGACACACTCACTCTGATAGTAGTAAATTTAAATATTGATTTATTAGATCTATAAACTCAATAACAGAGAGAATATATGATAAAGTACACTAATTTAGCTAGCAAAAAGTCTCTTCAAAACTTTATTGATTTAGCTTAATAATCTAGTGTCTAGTAGATCTACAAGCACAAAAATATAACTAATTTATTGAAATTTGGCCGACCATACAATGCCGTTCCGAGTATCATATATCAAGTAACATATAATTTGTTTAGACTGCAAGTGCCAGGCTTAGCACTCATGCCTATCAAATTAAAAACGATGACTAATCATGTTTTTCCACAAGTAGACAAGCCTGCATAAACTTTCAATGCACATTTTGCATTGAAAGTTAGCCAAATTGAAACATTCGAACCTTCGGACACATTTTGGGAATTTCATATTTCATGGTTATCCAGTTAAAAAGGTTCATATACGATTCAGCAGAGATATTTAAAATAATGAAATAATCATATTAAACATAATTTGATCACTCTTTTCCAATTGGAATTAGTTAACCCTAAGTGGCTTACGTTCTACTTCATGTACATTCCACACGAAGTTCACATCCCTTTTATATATATTGATTTCCTAACAGAGCATAAATATTGTTAATATAGAGGCACGCGAACTGAACCAAACTAATTGTGAAGGAAGAGAACTATAGCGCCTAAGAATTGTTTGAAAAAACCTGATTGCTTTGAAAGGAACCGTTTTTTATTTCTATATGCTACAAATAAGCTACGTTCCAAAGTAAATTTGAATTACTAAAAATAGATATTATAATAACACCGTATTTCAGCAACTAAGGTAAATCCTTCCCTATTATACTGTCAAAATTTGTAGACGCTTCAACAAGCAGAAATGAATTTTTCACATTTATAAAAGAATTCGATTTCGGGAACTAGACTTAGGCAGAAGAATTTGATTCAGACTGTTTGATACCTAGAATCTGCCTTACGCAAAAGGATTCGATATTAAAATCTAGATGATTTATATTTTTCCTTGAATACCTAGAATCAGCTTTACGCAAAAGGATTCGATATTAAAATCTAGATAGATTAAGTTTTGGCTATATTAATTTGCATTTTTCAAACCGCACTTTGCCTCTTCTCTTAGTTTTAAAAAATTGGGTTTGATTATATTTCGTACAACTTTCAATAATATCAGCTTTGTTTCCTCCACCGAGAATACCTACGATACTTTCTTAGAATAGTCCCAGTAGTCTTACATTCAAATTAATGAAATTAAATTAAGTACAGTTTACTCCCTGATCTAAAAAAATTTTGGCAGCGCTTAATTTGCTTTGATTGCTTATTATGAGAAACCAGAGCAAAGCTGCTCTCTCAGAACACTATCATCCTATAATTTTTAATAAATGTGTGACGATTGCTACTGAACAAATATACAAATAAACAGTAAAAACAGTTCTAAAGTAATCAATCTTTTTCTACGTGCTAATACAAACATGAGGCATACACCATCAAACAACTAATATTGTGACTTCCTTGCCAGTTGCAACATAGATGATAGATGAGTTCGGTAGATGAAAGAAGTTCCTCTCATACTATTTTAAATTCCAGTGCCCACCACCCTCCAACTTTTGATTGTTGTAATTCAAACCAAAATTATGTGCTTCTGTAACGTGAGTAATACTTCGAAACCACAGAATTATTCTTCTTAAAAGTCTTTATCATTTGATAAAGACAGCTTCAACTTAAAAAAAAAATAAATAAATGCATTTTTTGTGGTTTTTTAATGACCTTAACTTTAATATTAAAAAACTTTTCACCTAATCCTTGTTTCGATATCAAAATAATATGATAAAAAAAATTTAATATAAAATACTCTTCCATCTTAAATGTATTTTCCGTCTACCTTATATATACGTACTCTTGACCTGACCGCACATCTAATGATGTATATAAACCATAGCAAATGTATTACTTGCAAGTCTGTATCACATATCTGGTATATGGTATCCGGTAAGCTGTAAGTGAACCCAATAATACCATATACAAAGTAAATCCACCTAAGAGTTTTAAGACTTCTGATGCTATTTTGTGTACTTTCATGCTTTATTACCTTTTCTGTGCTATTTTTATTTCACTTTTCGGTTTGTTGTGATTATTTCAATATTTTTTCTTTTGAACGCTTAAGCTACATAAAGTAATTAAGCTGCAGTCGATTGCTGCAGTATTTCGCTCCAAAAACTATGCAAGGCTAAGGCTGCACCGGTAGGCCCAACACAATGCTGACGCAACACAATTGTGACTCTAACATGCTCTATTATGCAACACCACCCGCAGCTATATTCTCTACCATTACACTTCCCATTAAAGGAGCTGAAGCAGTGCGGCACATAAGAAGGTAAAAAGAAAAATGAGAAAAAAAGTGCTCTGTGTCTGCAATTTTCTCAAGAAGCAACACTTAAATGGCTTCCTATATGTTGTAAGCTGTAAACAAAAGCTGCCAGACTAAAAAGTAAAAGAAGTTTATGTTTTATGTTTCATGTTTTTGTTTATTTTTTATTTATTTTTTTTTTTTTGTATTACAAAATACATTTTTGTTTGTTGTCTTAATAAGATGAGATGGATGGATGTATAGGTGGTGATTTTGTTCTTAAAAAAAAAACTCAAAATAAAAAAAAATGAGGTAAAGAGTTCCAGACAAACACATGCGCCATTATGCAATTGAATTTCATTTTTTTTTGTACTCGATCTGGTACTCATATATACATTATTTTTTTTATACTCTTTTTAGTAGAAGTTTTTGTTCTTATGTAACAAATACTTTTCCGTTCCACTCACCACTACAGTTTATAGATATGTATATGTATTGTTTATTATATGTGTGCCCTCTTGTCTATGACGTATTTGTTTCTATGAAAAATGTCATTCAACTCCGGCATAATTGTACAAAAAATTAATAAAAAACTAAAAATATTTAAGCTTACTGCAACGAAATGGTTTACACTTTCTAAGACCTTTCTTTTAAATAATTACTCCTCTATAAGAAAATGTTAAAAAATTATCTCATAATTGGAAACCACACAACCCTCAACATATTTAAAATGGAAAGTTAAGTAAAAAAACAAATGAAGCAAAGGGTTAATGAAGAAAACAATTTATCTCGGAACTCCACTTGGTTAAAAAGTATCCGGAATTTATGTTATGAATGTTATAACATGTGCTGTATCTAACATAAAAATATCTTCCCAATTGAACATGTGCTAGTAATGGCTTTTATATGAAATTTTAGCGCCATCTAACGAAATGTATGTGAATCAATATGAAGTCAAAAGAAATCAAATGTTAAAAAATTTTCTCATAATTGGAAAT